CCCTGGCCCCTTCCCTCCTCCACACTGGCCCCGGGTGCACATGCAGGAGGCTTCCTGGTCCCCAGACAGCCTGGGGAGAGGCTTCTCCAAGCCTGGCACACACACAGACCATCTGGAAGCTTTTGCAGCCTGCTGAGACCCACCAAAGGTCACAGGCTCTGGCTGATGGTGGCCCTCCCCTTTCTAAGGATCTAGAAAGTGGAACTTCCCAAACGGGCATTTGATCAAGTGAAGCCCTTGACGTCCCATCGCTCTCAGTCCAGGGTTATCAGAAGCGGGCTCCCTACAGCGAGAGGAGACTCCTAGGGGTATTCATGCCACTCAACCCGACTCCTACTCCCACAGCTTAGCACACTGTGGCCCCATCCCCTGCCCCCAAGCCACAGCTTCAATGTGGGATCACATCTAAGGGGGCACCTGTGCCCTCTGGGGATGCCTGGTCAGTGTGAATATCCACGTTATTCCAAGACTAAATGGAAAAAGAAACAATCGAGCTGAAGTCAGTCAGCACGGGGGGACGGGGAGGGTAGAAAGCCGAGGACAATCCCCTGCCCCACAAGATTCCTGAAGAGTCTGATTGAAGCCACAGGGCTGCCCTGCAGTAAGAAAAGCTTGATCCCAGCACAGGTCCTCACGTCAGAAGGGACCAGCCCGGGAAGAGAACAGAAGGGGTGGCGCTCAGCTACCAAACGTTCTGGAGTCTCTTCCTTGGGGCCTCAGCGCAGTACAAACCCACGTCAATGAAACCCTGGCATCTTCAGGCTAATGGCAGAAGCTGGGAAGAGGCTCCACGATGCAGCATGGAGGAACATCGAGGACCAGCTTTGGAGGCAGGCGACCTGGGTTCAAACCCTCCACCCCCTTACTAGCTAGGGTGGCTAGGAGTCCCTTCCCCTCTCTGGACCTTAACTGTAAGATGAGGGGTTGGGCTAGATGATCTGAAGCCTCTTCCAACCCTAAACCCTACGAGAAGATAGTACGTGCGATTGAAATCTGATTGGCCCTGGCCTTTTCAGGAAGACATCCATGAATTACCTAACAGGGTGGAGGAGGTGGGGCTCTGTCCTGCCCCCACCTGCTGCAGGGACGGCCTGAAGAATCAAGAGTGGTCTGATGAAAGGAAGCAGGGCAGATGGGCCGGTCCTGACACGGTCTTTAGGGGAGAGGATGGCGATAAACACAGATGCCCTGCCCGGGAGCACGAATTCTCAACGGAAAGGGCCGCAAGGCACGGCCAGGGTCATGGCAGTGCTCCAGCCCAGCTGCCCCACTGCAAACAGAAGGCAGAGTTATGTGGGGGGACACCACCCCCACAGGGACCCTCAAGGGGTCTGGCAAGGAGCCCCTCCAAGTTTGTCAAAGTAAGCTCGACACCTGGTGTGAAGTGAGCTGCACAGCCATGAGCCCCATCTCATACCCGCTCAGAGAAGTGATAGTTTACCCCTGGTACAGCACAGCTCACGTCAAAGGCAGAATCTGAAAGCTAAGTGCGGGATGAGGCAGAGGCAGAGGCGGAGGCAGGAGCAGACGAGGTTTCCGGCTCTCGCCACAGGACTCAGGGGTCCATCTTGCAGGTGCCCCTTCGCCGCCCCCTTCCTGATTCTTCCCATGTCCCTGCAGCGGGCACCACCAGTGCGGGGCGGGGGCAGGACACAGACCAGGATTAAAAGCCTCCAGCCTGGGACACCTCAGGGATGGCAGCCGACTGGTCTACCATTCCCAGCACCAAATGGGAGAAGGGCACGCGTTCCCCAGGTTGACCAAAGAAGACTGGACGTATGGGGCAAGGGACAATGCAAGGTGGGCAGAGGCAAGCAGACAAGCCGGCAAGGGTCAACATCAAACCCGGCCATGGCCTCGGCAGTTTTCAGAAAACAGGTAGCACCTGGCTGAAAAAAAAACAACAAAAAACAACCAATTACCACTGCTTTAGCACGGCAAGTGAGGGAACGTGAGGCCGCTGCCTTTCCTGACACCATCACAGGATGATGCCCAGGGAAGGGAAAAGGACTTACCCAAGGTCTCCCAGCAAACCGCAGATCTGAGACCCCAAACTCCTAAGCCCAGGGCTCGTCCCGCCTCATGTGGCTGGCCGATGAACGAACACAAACCAAGAGCAAGTGCCCATCTAAGTGGCTGGTGACAACGGACGGGGGTGCGCTGTCATCAGGGTGCGGAGACCACCCGAGAGCGAGCCTGCTCGTCCGCTGCCTGGCCCATGCCAAGCACTGAGAGATGTTTCGGGTTCCTCCTGCTTCCCAGGTCAGCCTCACTTCAGCCCATCTCACCCCATGGCCTCCTTTACCCAGAAGGCCCACTCTCGGCCAATCTCGGAATCCTCAAAAGCTAGCCTAGAGAGGGCTGCGGAGGTCAGCTAGCGTAACCCCCCTCATTTCTCAGAAGTGAAAGTGACCTGGACAAGGGCCCACAGGCACTCCATACAGGGCATTCGAACCCAGGCCCTCTCCCTCCAAATCTGCAAGTTTTAGCGTCTTCATCTTGTTCTATTTATATACACTATACACTGGCCAGAACGATTTTCATTTTTGAATTTATTAAAATGATTAACCTCAATACTGCAAGTCCATGTACAAAATTCTTGTAAAAAAATGTTTGTTTGTTTTTTTAATGAATTGTAAAGAACTTACCTCAAACGCTGAAAAAGGCCTTTTGGCATTCATTCTTTCAGTACAAGGAATACAGAGTATCTCAAAAGTATTACAACTCAGTCAAACAATTTAAACAGTCATTTGAAAAATGATTTAAAATGGGATCTTTACATAGATTTCTATGATTATCTCCTAAGCTCTCACAATGTCTGAATCTTTGCCCATCATTGCATAAGCTCAAGTCAAGAGTTTTGACCTCCTGCACTCGGTCCCAAGCTGGCCCCCACCCCCCATCTCCAGGCCCACAGCAGCTCTGAACCTCCTGTCTTATGAGGAAGGTCAGGCTCTCGAGATGGCATCGCCAGTGGCTTCCGGATGCTTGTGCAAACCAACCCCTGAGAGGCAGCAAGCTACGGCACTGAGTCTTCCATCAGGGTGTTGATGGCAGGAGACCCATGGGACAGAAATCTCAAAAGAGACTGACACAAAATAAATAAGGAAAAAATAAACCTCAACTTAAAAAGCAAGAAGAATGAGAAATGTAATTAAAGATCTTTTATTACTTTACAACGAAAACTAGAACCCATGGAAGGGTGGCCCCAAGTATGCAAAGAACCAGCCCAGGACATTCCTCTACCCTCCCCAACTCAGGTCCCCAACGCCACAGTCCCCAACGTGAGGAAGTGCTGATTTGAAGGACAAGACGTGATTTTTGAGCCCTGGAGACTAGTCCTCCCTCTCCGGGACATTACCCAGCCTCCCTGGGTATCCCATTTCTCACCGAGGGCGCTGTAAGGGTTAGGTAATGTCCAGAGGGACTCGAGCCCCTCACGGACAGATCGCCATGCTCAGAGAGCGACTATTATCTGGCAGCCTAAGACATCTGCACCCACCAACTGGAGACTCCCCAAGGAACGCGTGGGGGGCTAAACCGTACAGGCAACAGAGAGGGCCAGACTAGAGAACTTTCTCCTGGGAGAATGACAAGGAGGATTTAAAAAAAGAAAACAAAAAACCAGACCTGGAGGGTGGGAAGGCCCTTCTCTCTGGTCACCCCCCAGCACTTCAGCAGCAAGGGGGAGCCGGACAAGGTCTGTCTGTCGAGGGGGGCAGACAGCGACGGCTCCTCCTCGGCCCAGCCCCTCCCCTCTTAGGCTCGATTCTCCAGACGTGGCTAGCAGGCAGCCACAGGACTCGTGACCACCCCCTGTCACACGGCAGCCTTTCAAGCTCCGTGTTCAGTGATTTATAAGATAATCCACAAAAATCGTACGAGAGTCTGGCACCAACACCAAACCGGAATCAAAGTTGCTTTGTTCATTAAATGATTAGGAATTCCTCTTCCCTCTCCTCAAAGTGCTTACTGCAGCTCTCCCGCTGGCTGGGAGCCAGGAGGGCCCGCTGACGCGGGGCTGCGCACAGCGGCCTGGGGCATTGGCATGAACGTAGAGAAACCTTCCTGGTAAGTTCTTTTAATGTCTCATGACAAAAGTTTCTCACAACACACAAATATTTACAACATGTACAGTGTTTTCAGTCCTTTCCATTGAATCTCCAAGACAAACATTTGTATAGGGCACCACAGAACAAAAGCTGTGACTCCTGTTTTTATTTCATAAACTCGTATAAGTTAAAGTGAATAGATTTCTTTATATTCCTTGTAGCATTTTACAAGTGCAACAGAAAACGATGAAGAACCGAATGACGAGCTGTGGGTCATGGGGTCAATGCTGCCTGGTGTCACCACATTGTTTCACAGCAAATTTTTGAAAAAATAAGCACCAATCATTCTTGCAAAGAACAATTTTATCTAAAAGTATTGAAAAGTGTTAAATACAAGGTGTTTAATTTACATAACAAGCAATAAATACACCATACCCAAACTTCCGTTCTGCACACTGCTACCCTCGTACATATAATGTACTAAAAAGTTAGCAAACTGTCAACACCTTTGTCACCGTACTCTTTTTAAAAAAAAGAAATCCATCCGACTTCCCACCAACAGTTTGCTACAGGACCCAGGCCACCAAGAGTCCATCCGGGACAGCAGACAGTGTAAAACGGACAAGACACCTACCAAGAAAATCATAGAGCCACAGGCCATTGCTGGTGATAGTAACACGTACTGGGGACGTTACTATGCTGCTACGGTGATTTGGAGATTACGGTTTAGTCAGATGTCCAAGAGCGGGGACGCTCTCTGGGGTTAAAAATCATTGTGGAGCCACGTCATCGTTGCCGCGTCCTGCAGGGAAAGCGGATCTCTGTACAATGTCCTTCCGGCCTTTATTTCACAGCAGGGCATCCCCTCGACCTCAGAATTGCACGTAAGAAGGCTATTTAAAAAGTCCGATAAAAAGGCGTGCCCGCCCGCCCGGCGCTGCTGCCCGCGCCCGCGCCCGCCGGCTGTCGCACGCGGACTCCTCCCGGACGGGACCCGGGCGGCTCAGGCGTTGAGCCTCAAGGACTGGTCCTCCCGCCGCCGGGAGGAGATGTCGATGTCGATGGAGTCCTTGCCCACGATGAGCCGCAGCCGCTTGGCCGGCGGGAGCGGGATGAAGTCGTCCTCGAAGTCGTCCCCGTAGTCTTCCTCGTCCTCGTCGTCGTCCTCGTCCTCCTCCGACGAGGACGGCTCCTCGGCGCTCTCCTCCTCGTACTGGCTGTACTCGTCCACGTCCATCCTCGACTCCAGCAGCGAGAGGGTCTCCGGGCAGCAGAGGCCGTTCTCGCGCAGCTCCTCCACATAGGGGCCTCGGCTCTCGTCCTCCCGCTTGAGCTGAATCTTCAGCTTGGTGGAGCTGCCGCCGCCGGACCCTGAGCTAAACCCGTTATTGAGCTTGGCGACGTAGAGACTGTTGTCTTTGTCGTGGTCTTTGCTCAACTTGATGCTGATTTTGGAGGAGCTCATTCCGTCACCGTCTTGGTCGGCGGCCTTACTGCTGCTGTCGTGGCGCCTCCGAAGAGTCAATTTGGGGATCCCAGAGCTGTTCTCCAGGATCAGCTGCGCATCATACCTTGTGATGCGCCGTTTTTTTTTGCTTTTCGCAGTTCTAAAGCTGTCTTTTGCTTTGAAGTGGTCGGGCGTCCCGACGGAAGCCCCGCCCGCCACGGCAGGCACGCAGTCCTGGCGGCCCGCGGGCCCGTCCGCTCTGTCCCTGGGCTCCGCGTGGTCCGAGTGAGAGCTGATGAGGTCGGGCACCGCTTCCTCGCTCTTGGGGGCATCCAGGACCGGAACGGGCTCCTCCGCTTTGGCAAACTGTTTCAACAGCTTCCCTTGCCGTGATTTCTTTCTGGCCGCGCTCACGTCCTCCTTTGGAGACCTCCCCTCCCCGCATGGGGACGCGGCTTCGGGAGCCTTTTCCCGGTCCCGCGCCGCACGGGGAGCGGCAGGCGGCTCCACGCCGTCCGTGTCTGTGCCAGGGCCCGTGCCCGCCCAGGCGCCGGGAGAGCTTCCCGACAGGCTGCCGGGCTCAAGGGCAGGCTCGGAGGTCTCCTTCCAATTCGTTCTCGTCCTCACTGACCTCCGAGTGATGTAGGCGCAGGGCGACCCCCCGTCCTGCTCGGGAGCCCCGCCGGCGGGCCCCCGCCCGTGCTCTCGCGCGGCGTGGCGGGTCAGGCACCCGCCGGCCGCGGCGGCGCTCGCTGGTCCCTCGGCTGCCTTGTCCTTTCTGATGGGCAGGTTTTTGTACAGAACCACTTTGGGCTCCTTGAGGACCAGGCTCCCCACTTCGAGCTTCCTCGAGGCGCTCTTTGGCTCTGGCCTCCGGCACTGGTTTCTGAGCTTTATCTTGGAAAGCAAAGGCTTGACGACGGGCCTTTTCAACTTCTTTGGTACCCTGGGATTGTGGAGAGGCGCGAGTCTCGATGAGGTAGAGTTGGAGGAGGCGGGGATCCGCGGCGCCGACGACGACGGCGTTAGCGACCGGTCCTTGCCGCTCTTCTTCACGCCGACAGACGGTTTCCTGTTCGCGGCTGCAAGAAAAGAACCGACAGAAGATTAGGGAGGGCCCGACGCAGCGGGTTTTCTTCCCGTGAATTCATTTTCAAACACTACCATTTACGGAACATCTACTGCTTTCTGAGGGAAACGATTTCGGGGTTAAGCAGCTCTCATCACTAGGAATTCAGATCTCACGTGAGCCTGGGTAATTCTTGCCCTCTATTTTCCCACATCTCAGAACATTCTCAAAAAGGAGAGATCAAGAGAAAATGGGTACAATTTACATTTCCTCCCCAAATCTTATTCAGCGGGAAGCAAGCAGTAACGAGTTTGAATGAATCGCCCAAGTAATGGCCATCGCTATGACGTGGACTATCCCCCCAACTCAGATGCAGACCCCAGGAGATGCAGGGCAGGCGGTCAACCTGCAAGTGCCGTCTCAGTAGGTGTAAGACAGGAGAACTGAGACCCACGGGCACAAAGACGTGTCCCCTGAGAACAGGGATGGCACCGGGGCCGTCCACTCAGAACACATCAGACATAAGTGCGTCCCTCTTTCTGGGCCCTCTGCGCTCGATCCCGCTGCTGAGCCCGACGTCCAATCGCCCCCCACCCTGGTCCTGCACCTCCTCTGAGATCACCCTGAAGCCTGAGCTCAGCGGGTGCCCGGACGACAGGCGGGTTCCCTAAGCTACCCTTTCCTATCCGCTGCGTCCAGCTCAACGACCTCAGAAGACAGCGTGGACCCCGATTGATGCGATAAGCGCAATGATTATGTTATGACTGAGTCTAGAAAAGACTGTTCTATCACACATTTCCCTACCACTGCCGTATCTAAACAGAGGGGATGGACCTTGTCAAAGTGGGCTGGAGCGTGCTGACTACACCTCTCTTATTTTTTTTTTGGTGAGGGAATCAGGGTCAAGTGACTTGCCCAGGGTCATACAGCTATTAAGTGTCAAGTGTCTGAGGCTGCGTCTGAACTCAGGCCCTCCTAACTCCAAGGCCAGAGCTCTATCCACTGTGCCACCGAGTCGCCCTCTATACCTCTCTTTATGTAATGGTCCGTTCTGTTCCCTGGGGGACCCATAATACACTCTTAACAACAGTGACCTGTGAATCCAATGGGACAATGAGCAACCTAAAGGAAGCTAACGCTCCGAGGAAAAGAGGTGCTGGCAGGCCTAGGAGAGTGGATGCCAATGAGAATCCTGACAGCCACTCCAACACACACTGAGAAGCACTCAGGATCCTGGAGTGTCTCACAGGACAGAGGAGCCCTGAGGAGGGGCTGTGAAAAGAGGTTGCTGCAATCTGGCCCTGGTGTCAGGTAGTTACCAGGCAGTCCACTTTCCTTAGTGGCTGGAGGTTCAAGACTGCATGCCACCCCCCCCCCATTTTGCATGAACCGTATGAATGAATGAATGCATTTATTAAATGCACATTATGTTCAAAGTCCTATGTTAAGCACTGGGAATGCAGCGAGTCCCTGCCCTCGAGGGGCTCCCATTCCAATGCGGGAGATCACATATGGGGAAGGTCTCAGCTGCCAGTCAGGTGGAAAAGTCCCATGGCTCTCAGGCAGCAGAAGCCAAGCCGGCGTCAGGCCGCTCCTCTGGAGTCATTTCCACAGATAAAATCAGCCCAGCTCCTGATGCTGAACCACTGACGGGGCCCAGGACTGTGGGGGCCACGACTTTCCCTTCCAGGTCTCCAGTCGCCGTGGCTGCAGCCCTTGCAGGAGCAGGTCCCCAGGGGCCGCTTCCCAGGATAACCCCAGGACAGGGGCTCTGGCTGGAGGCCCGGCCTCGGAAGGGCTCAGGCCCTGGGCTGTCTTTATCAGGGTCATCAGGGTCAGAAGGGAGATGAAGGTCAGGGTGGTAGGGGTTTGACACGCCCAATTCATGCTGCCTCCCGTTTCCTCGAGGGTGTCCTCCCACTCTAGCCAGGCTGGTGTCCACCGTGACATGCCTCTTGTCAAGGCTCGGCAGACCCGGAGTTAAGACAAGGTAAGTCTGAGTCCTCATCCAGCTGGCACCGGGGGCCCCGTCTGAACGTGGCCCCGCCTCCGCAGCCTGGGGTGTTTGCACATCGCACTCGTCACCAAGGCGGTGGTGGAGAGAGAAGACTGAGAAGCCCAACTCTGACCACAGCGGAGCCATGGGAGTGGACTCTCCACTCTGCCCCGGCCCCCTCTCGGGCTGCAGAAAGGGAAGCAACATAAGGCCACAGCTCCCCTGGCGACTTTCACAGGCCTGAGTGTGGCGAGCGAGAGGAAGTGCTTCGATGGCCACTCCCTTTGGGGGAGGCTCTGCGCCACCAGGTTCAGACACTGAAATCCCTCTCTCACACACACACGCGGTCACTCACAGGAAGAAGTAAAATGTAGAAGAAAACATGACAGAACGCAGCTGACACCCATGCCGCCTGGTGCGGTGCGCTCAGAACAACGGCACAAGCTAGCTGAGGAGAATCAGAAACAAACATCAATTACTCAGGAAAGAACACCTTACGGGACAAAATCTGCTGGGCAAACTAAAAAGCAGCTTGGCAGAAATCAGGTGCAGGGCAACATCTTATGCCCCATTTCACAACGAATTCAAAAGGGACATTGAGTCTTCATGTTAAAGATACCTTAACAACAACAGCTGTTAACATCTGTATAGCACCTACTATGTACCAGGCCCAGCGCTAAGCACATAGTCATTTGATCCTCACCATCACCCCAGGAGGGAGGTGCTAATATTATCCTCATTTTACAGATGAGGAAACTGAGGCAAACAGGGTGAAGTGACTTGCCCAAGGTCACATAGCTAGTAAGCGTCCAAGGCCAGATTTGAACTCGGGAAGATAAGTCTTCCTGACTCTAGGCTCGTGCTTTATCCACTGTGCCGCCTCGCTGCCCACACCATAAAAAATCAGAAGACCCAAAGCACATACTCTTTCAAAGATATAGGGAGACCGATAATTAGCCAAACAAGAAAGAGGGCCAACTGCGAAAGACAAAACAGATAACTCTGACTACGTGAAACCGAGAAGCTCCTGCGCAAACAAAGCAGACGCGCCAAGGGTAAGAGGAGAAGACAAAACTCTATTAAGCTCGGGGCTGGCGGGAACCCTGGTGCACTGTGGGGGAGCCATCCGCTATCATGCAGATAAAGCAGCTCCATGTCCCAAGTAGGTCACTGAGAGAAGACAGTCCCTGCCACACACAAAGGCCGAGAGCAGCCCTTTCTGTGGCCTGAAGAATCACCTGGGGAAGAGCACATGACATCACCGAGAAGCGCAGCGCGAGTGACAGGAACCAACGGGAACCCAGGGCAAACAGTGACGCCGGCGCCACCAAACGCACAGGAGGGAGCGTGGCCACGCTACATAGGGCACACGTGGCCCCCCCAGCAGACGCAGGGGGAGATGCGCCCTGCCCGCTGCTTCCCAGAGGCACGAGACCCACAGTGAGAGGACGTCGTGCATGTTTTCTTTTTTCAACGTAGCAGTCAAGTTTTGATTTTTTTCTCTTTTTTTCCTTTAAAAAAGTATTACTTGATATATAGGATGAATCTTTGGGAGGGGAGGGGAGAAAGTATGCTGGGAAAAATTCTGGTGATGTAACAAACCGTTAAGATATTAATAAAATTCATTTTAAAAATAAAAAGAGTGCAAGTGAACTCTTAGGGTGGTCTAAGATACGGATGTTTAAGGAATGATTTGGGAAACCCCAATGCTCCTCTACAATGCGCTCTGCCCACCTGACAGTCTTAAACAATTACTCTGGCAAAAACAGAAGGAAAAAAACAATTAGCCTACCGACAACTCAGACTCACTTTTCCATTACGGAAGCATAGAGATATTTCTTAGAATTAGAATGCCACACGTTTAAGTTATGTTTCCATCCTCCACACAGCTGCCAGGGCAATACTCCTCAAGGGCAGGCATGACCATGTCTCTGCCCTCTTCAGGACACTCCAACGTCTCCCTAGCCCTGTAAGATCAAACATCAGTTCTGCTCTCCTTCCTGAAGGCCTGTCTCAGCCCACTCTTCCCAGTCTGGCTGGCACTCTGTCCCCCATCTCCGTGCCTTGGTACAGTCCTTCGCCATGCCTGGAACGCACTCTCTCCTCACCTCTGCTCAGAAGCCCTGGTTTCCTTCGTGGCTCAAACAAGCAGGACCTTCTAGATGAACGATGCCTTTCCTTAGGTCCAGCCTCCCTGGTGCGAGGGCTTTATCCTCCAATTCCCTCGTCCATTTTCTCTGTGGATGTATCTTCCCAAGCAGGAGTTGGCTGTCACGTTTGTTTTTGTCACCCCGGGGCTTGGCACTCAACAAACCGCCTGGTAACTGATTCCAATTCCAGACCCAAAGCTTTGCCACTCTAATGAAATGCTCCAGTGTATATGATACAACCCAAATGCAGAAACCTGTTCATTTGCAAGTAAGCCTTCTGATCCAAACAGCGGTGGGACAGTGGTTTGGAAAACCACTTAGAGGCACTGAAAAGCCCTGGAGGGCTGGCTGGCCTGGAAGGACCCTGGAGAGATCAGGCCCAGGCCGCCAGGTGGTTCCCAACTGCGTGCCAGCTCTCCAAGTCTGTGCACGTTCAGGAAGCCCATCAGGGGCTGTCCCAGGGCCTCGAACTCAGAATCACCAAGATTCCTTTAAAGCCAGCCAAGCATGGACGAGCATGGACTCTCACGTCAGTTTACACACATGGGTCAATGGTGAATGTCTGATCCTTCATGCCAGGAGTCCAGATGCAGGAATCTAATCCAACATATTTCCAGCTGTGAAGACCTCTGGGCTTATGAGAGGTGCCAATGAGTCTTGGAAATGGAAAATCAGCATTTGGGATGACGCTGCTCATCCCCCTGCCCCAGAGATCCTACTGCCAGGCAGATGCCCCCAGGAAGCCACAGACAAAACGCAAGGCACCTGCAGACACTAGAGGTGGCTGAGAACTAGAAACAGGGAGGGAGTGGAGGACACCCGAGCTGGGGCAGGCCGGGAATCCACATCGGGAGAGCACTCGAGACGAGGACCAGGGACGGGCAGGCATCGCAGCGACCGAGGACCCCCGGCTCTCTGCAGACTCCTGCCCCGAGGTCTTGGTCAGTCTTGCAGATTTTTCCTGCCTGTGTCCTCTCTGAACCTGCCCCACTGCTGCAGGTAGGGATGCCAACACCAGAGACGGGGACGCACAGTCCGTCCATCCTCACACTCAGTGGTTTGTGAGGGATGACAGAGGGCTGTGGCACTCTTTACCTCCAAATCCACGTGCCCGGCTACTGGGAGGGAGCTTCTCCACCAGGATTCTTGGTCACTGCTCCCCTTGAGACGTTGCTCGTGACCACGTTCTCCCTCCTGGAGGTCTGGCTTTTTGGGGGCTTTGCATTTTGTCTTAGAGACGGTGGCGCGTTTCTTTCAATTCCTCACACTCACCAAACTCAGCTGCATCGCGGGAGCCAGTCGTCAAATGCTACTGTGCTAACGGCATCTTCTGTTCAGGGGATGCTCTCAATAACAGAGTTATTAGTTTGGAGGTCTGTGAACTCACTGGCAGTCGTACCATCAGACGGAGGCAGTGCCGGCCTGAAGACCACTCCCATCCCTGGACCAGAAGGGGGCCTGGCCGGGCTTCTCTCAGACCCACGGCGCTCAGAGGAGTCCAAACCAACCCCTACCAACAAGATCTCCTTTTCTGGCGGGGCTCCCAACAGGCGAACTTTGTGCTATTTAGCACGGGCATACAGGTTCACCCTTCCCCCCCCCAATGCAAAACTAGGAATCTAGCACCCAAGCATCACCTGTTGAAGGAAAAGGTAGAAAAAAGATTAAATTCTGAAATAACTGACTGATTAGGAAGCAGAGGAGAAAACCCTCACTAGTGGAGATCTAAGGGCTCTGCCTCCACTCCCTCCTAAATGCTGCCCGAGGGAGAAGGACTTGGGGCTCAAGCTTGTCGACGGTTCAATCCCTTCCCTTCGAAGCCAGTCTCTGAAGGACTGGGCCCTCCTGTCTCCCACGTCACCTTTTTACTTGTGGAACTGCTGAGATGAACAATATTCTCAAGCCATTTCGTCTGTGAGCTTTAGCTACTTACAAGAGCCACCACATTTCATCTGGGAAACAAACTATGGCATGACTTTTCTAAAAGTTCAACACGACGAGGCGCTTCCAAGAAGCCGCACAGCAGATGCCGAGCTGCTGGTCTGGTCTGAGGCCTCTGGCCCGGCCAAGCTGGCCTGAGCCCTCCGGCCTGGCCAGTCCAGTCCAGTCTGAACCCTCCAGCCCAGCCAAGCCAGCCCGGCCAAGCTGCCCTGAGCCCTCCGGAGCTCAAGCCCTCCGGCCCGGCCAGTTCGGTCTGAGGCCTCCGGCCTGGGCGAGATGGCCTGAGCCCTCCGACCTGGCCAATCCAGTCTGGTCCGAGCCCTCCGGCCGGTCAAGCCGGCCTGGCCGGTTCGGTCCGAGCCCCCTGGCCTGGCCGGAGGGACGGTTCCCCAGTAAAGGAGGTCCCGGTGTGAGGACACCCGGCACACAGGGCCGGCCCTTACTTACTTGCATCGTTTTTTTCCTGAGTGGTGTCTGCGTCCGTGTTGGAGCTGACGGACTGGCTGTCTGAATTCTTGCTGCTGTCACCCAGCTTTTTCAGCCTATTTAAGCGCTTGTCGGTCTCTCTCAGCCCGTATTTACTGTTGATGACGGGAGCAGGCGTGGGCAGTCCCACCCTCGATTTAAAAGCACCAGTTCCCCGTCTGGAAGAAAGGAGAGAACTCGTGGCAGCGGCGCCCAGGCTCTCCCAGGGCTCTCACCAAGAAAGGCACCTTCTGACCAGGCCCCACCCTCCCATGCTGGAGAAGCCCCCAACTCCAAGGCTCCACAGTACTGAACACAATGGATAAGACTGGCTATTTTAAGAAAAAACCCATGATTTAAAAAAAATTCAATTTGACGATCCAATTCACCAGCCATTCTTAAGTGCCCACAAGCAGCAGGCCCTGTGCCTGGAGCTGGGGACCACAGACTCAAAGCCCCAAAGTTCAGAGAGGACACAGCATGGCATCCTAGGACCCAGGGAGGCAGAACAGGGCAACCTCCTCGCCCCATTTTAAAAGTGAGGAAACTGAGGCCTAGAGAAGCTTAGATGTACACACAGGAGCAAACAAAAAGACACACAAAGAAACCACAAGGTTTCAAAAGGATCAAAGGCTACCAAAGGGGGAGCACCAGGTAAGGCCACAGACAGGAGGCGGCAGCCGAGGCAGGCTCTGAAGAGGAGAGGGTACGCCAGGTATAGGCCACAGCCTGGACAAAGGCCAGGGAAGTGGCTAACAGAAAAGCAAACTATGGCTAGAAACAGAGATGGAGGCCAGATGGAGAAGGCTTGGCATGCCAAGGTAAGAGTTTGGTATTTTATCCTAGAGGCTGGGCCCTGAGTTATTGCTGGTCTTTGGTGGAGGGCAGTTCTGACAAGACAAACTGGATAGAAAAGACTAAAACCGGTTTCTCATCTGACAGTCAACATTGTGTGATGAGACCCACAGAGGTCACTTGTGACTTGCCTAAGGTCAAACAACACTGTCAGAGGCAGGATGGGTTCAAATCCCGCCTCCAAGGTCAGCGCCCTCTTCCCTATATGCCCTGACTTCTGGGTTCTTGGGGTCTGTGGGACTTGGGCCTTTTCCTTACAACAGGGACTCGAGGGGCCAACAGGCCATCAGGCAGCGTGCCTAAATGCCCAGTCAGGCCGGGCTCCCGCGGATGCCTGGGATGCATGCCCTCTTAGGGGCCCCGCGGTCCTTACTCTCCCCTCCCCCACACCCTCGATGTGCCGAAGCGGAGGCCGGTGGAGGTGCGTAAACTTGTTTTTCACTATTCTGATCACTGTGCTCAGCATGAATGGTTTCCCTTGTGACCCCATGTATTTTTTATTGTACATGTTTGAAAATGTGATTCTGAGAAGGGTCCACGTTCTCCAGCAGAGTGACTGCCCGGGGGTCGGGGGCACAGACCTGGGGAGGAAGCCCTGTCTGACCAAGAACTTTGTGTCACGCTGCTACGAGCATTCAGGACACGGAAAGGACTCATTGAGAGGGAAGTCTGCCCAATGGAAGGCAGGGGTTATCTGGACCCCTCTGCTGAGGCTGCTGATTCTCTCCCCTAATGAAGGTAACCCAGAGATGACTTTCAACCACATGAGTTAAGTCGACAAGCACCTATTAAGCACCTACTGTAGGGGGCAGCTAGGTGGCGCAGTAGATAGAGCACCGGTCCTGAAATCAGGAGGACCTGAGTTCAAAATCCAGCCTCATACCAAACACTTGACACTTACTAGCTGTGTGACCCTGGGCAAGTCACTTAACCCCAATTGCCTTAAAAAAAAAAAAAAAAAAAAAAAAAAGCACCTACTGTGTGCCGTGCACTGTACTAAGATCTGGGGATACAAAGAAAGTCCAAAGACAGCCCTCGCCCTGGCGGAGCTCCGGACACCCTGCCAACAGCTAGGGATGTCAGAGACAAAGGCACCAGCATTACAGTGCACAGATTTTAGCAAGGAACTGAAGCAGAGGCGAGGAGGGGGGAATTCTGAGCACTAGAGAACGGCCAGCGCCAAGAGACGGGGCATCCTGTGGGTCACTGCCACAGAGGACGTGGTGGGCAGGGAGGTGGAGTAGGACTGGAAAGGGAGGAGGGGGCAGGGGAGGAAGGGCCCTGAGTGCCAAAGGCTGCAGGAAGCCCCTGGGAATGACAGTCAGACGTGTTTTGGTGACTGAACGGGGGATGGAGTGGAGTGGGGAGACACCTGGGGCAGACCGACCCCCAGCAGTCACTGCAACAGCCCAGGTGTGGGGTGGTGAGGGCGTGTGTGTGTGAGACACAGCGCCAGAGAAAAGGGGGTGCATTCGAGAGATGGTGCAACAAACTTTTAACACTACCTAGCACACGAAAAGCTTCGTCACTTAACTCCCTGCTCTCTTGCCTTTGCCACCCCCAGCCCCACCCCGCTCCACCTGGCCAAACTCTGCTGATGGGTCCTGGAGGAGGCTTGTCTGAGCCCGTCTGGCCCCCCCACCAAGCCTCCCAGACCCAAGGGCTACTCTTCGGCCAGTACACCCTCTGTTCAGTCTCTCCCGTTGGAATGGAAGCTCCTGGAGGGCAGGGCTACCTTTGCTTATGTATTCGTCATCCCTGGTTTAGCACAGTGCTTGGCACACAGGAAAGCCACTCATTCAGTTAGCTCAGGAAAGGGGAGTGAGGAAGACCGAGGGACTCCGGTCCTAACACTTTGGCTAGTCTGTCCAACCCAGCCTGAATCTGACTGTGTGCCATCGAATGCTGAGTGAACACGCCAGGAGAAGTCTTCAGACTCCCATCACTCTTCCCTTGAGTTCTATTTACGCCCCAGTTATCCAGCTGCATCTGGACATCTCGTCTGTGTGAACTGTGACTACTGGAAGATGACACATTTTTATGCCTAGAGTCTGTGGTGATTAGAAATCACTTAACTGTGGCCTGAGTGCCTTAGGAGACTTGCTTTCTGGACGATATATTGCCCGCAACCAGCATTTCAACCGTCTGTGTATTGATACATACTTTAAAAATAATAGAGAGGGCACATAAAGGGGTTGTTCTCAAATATTCCAAATGATCTTACTGGGCAAACCTTCTCGACGGGTGGGTCTTCATCTCTTACTTTCCCCTGCTAGGTATCACACGCACACTTTCAGATCATGGACACTTAAAAGGCCTGCTGTATCACTGAATGATCAATGATAATCCTACCTCCAGCATGAGAAAAAAAAAGACAAGTGGAAAAGGATAGCAAGCATTCAAGATTGGAAAGCGTGCCTCACCATCCCCCGGGAGCAGGGGCTGTTATCACCCCCATTCCACAGATGAGGAAACCGAGGGAGTCAGAGGTAAGGGACTTGCCCAGGGTCACACAGCCAGTAAGAAGCTGGGGCAGGATTTGGAGGTGCCACGGTGCCCTGGTCTTGACCATTCAGTTGAACAGCTGAAGCGCAAGCACATTATGCTACTAATGGGATCCCCAACTCTCTCTTTCTGGCCTTTGACTCCAGCCTGGTTCAGACGTAAACAGAGCAAACACTACGAGCAGTCACTCCTCCCGTGGCAGAGACGCTTGGGCCGCGTGTGGTTCCTTAAAAGACACACAGATCCTCACCCCTGGCATGGGGTGGGGTGGGGGGTCCTCAGCAGGGCTCATCCCACGGCTGAGTGGAAATCTCCAAGAAGCAAACTGAGGCTTGACCATAAGAAAAAAACTTCCTAACAGAGTTTCCTAAAAATGCAATGAATGGGACTTGGGGAGCAAAGCCTAGATGACCTCATCAGGGACGTGGCGGGGGATTGCTGTCAGTGGGCTGGCCTCTGAGGTCTCAACATACTCTGATCAGGGAGGTAAAGAAAAAGGGGGGGGAGAGGGAGGGAGAGAGAGAGAGAAAGAGAGAGGGGAGAGAGAGAGGAGAGGAGAGAGGGAGAGAGTAAAAAGAGAGTGGAGAGAAGGAGAAAGGTCCGAGAGAGAGACTGAGGAGAGACTGGGAGACAGAGAAAGTGGAGAGATAGAGAGGAGAGACACAGCAGACAGAGAGACAGAGAAAGTGGAGAGATAGAGAGGAGAGACACAGACAGACAGAGAAAGTGGAGAGATAGAGGAGAGACACAGACAGAGAGACAGAGAAAGTGGAGAGATAGAGAGGAGAGACACAGACAGAGAGACAGAGAAAGTGGAGAGATAGAGAGGAGAGACACAGACAGACAGAGAGACAGAAAAAGTGGAGAGATAGAGAGGAGAGACACAGACAGACACAGGGAGACTGAGAAAGAGGGGAAAAAGAGAGACACAGCCACAGGGACACAGAGAGTGGAGACCCAGGGAGAGACAGAACGAAGAACCTGGCTGAACCAGTTCACCAAGTTCTTCAGACCAAGAACGTACCTTTCACACGTGTAACACTCGCAATACTCATTGTTTTCTCCAAAAAACCCGTCTCCGTAATAACAAGATATTTCTTCTCCAGGCTCGATATCTCTCAGGGCTTTTACACATGCTGTGTCCCGACCAGTTGAAACAAACTGCAACGTAACAAGGAATGCATTAAATAAAGGGTCTAATTTGAAGAGGGCCCAGAATTCAGACACCGATTTTTTTTTTTTAAAATAATACCTACCTTACAGTTAGGTCTGCAATCTGAAAAATGTCCAAAAGATAAAGTCAATTAAGTGCTGATAAGATCTGAAACACGAATAATTACAGAAGCCTGAAATAAGCTTTCAAAGCCGTGCTGAAGCTTGCGCCAAGTGAGGCAGCGACGGCCACATTCGATTGGGGGAACGGGGGAGGTTTCTATTTGGGGACTCGGGGGCTGAAGGGAGCCCCCCAGGAGCTGGGCTTCTGTCCCTTCACAAGGGACAGGCTAACATCTGGGGCTGGGCTGGTCCTCACTAGCCTGAGAAGGCGTGTCTAACTTCAGGACGCATTCCCAGACAGCAGAGGGCTGAACACCGTCCCCATCCGTCTTACCATGGTTTATAAAGGCAGCGGGACCGAGCCAGAGCTGAGCACAATTTTTCCTGGTGGAATACATGACACTGAAATCATTTTCTCCATGTCTAAGTAGCATGTTCTCTTCTATTTCTGAAAGTTCAGCAATACAACCCACCAGCAATTCTATCTTGTCATTCCGTTTCCTATTGAAAACATATGAAAAGAACAGTGATCAAGACTTTGCTCTTGATAAATTCAGCCAGCCAGTGCAGCAGATGCAGGGAATGGCCAAGGTCTCCCTGGGCGAAAGGGGGGCCGGCCGCTGTGGGCCAGCCTGGCGTCGTCCTTCCGTCCACATCAGGGCTCTCACGTTTTCCTGCACATCTACCTTGGCAGCTCCGAAGAGCGCCGGCCTGGAGAAGGCCCCCACGCCTGCGGCCCCCTTGCGCCCTGGGCTTCAGGGGTTCACGCTCACCCCTCCCGGGGGCGTCTAGGTCTCATAGTTACCACTCTTTTGTTGCAACGATTTTGGCTCCATTCTGTTCTGACGAATACCGATTGCAAGGTAGGATTTCAAATCCGCTGTCAGTTGCAAACATTCGCAAATAAATAAATACCTAAAACGGAGGTAAAAGTTTTGGTGTGAGTTTGTAGTAAACGCGTCCAATGGAGGAGGTCATTAGGCCGTAATCTGGATGGCTATTCAGATCCCTTCTAAACACTCCCACGAACTCTGAGGTTTCTTTTTGGACATCCTTTCAGTCACCTCCCACCCCATATTTTATCTCCATCAGGAAAGTCAGCAACTAAAGTCATGATACATATTCGTTATTATTCTCTCATTAACCAGTGAACTTTAAACACATCTAAGTGCTAACAACAGGCAGTCCCTTACTAAGATGTGTCCAAAAATCCATGGACTTCTTCCTTGTAGACATTCCTTCCAACCATGGGGACCACGACCCTCCTCACCTCCACAGTGAGGTCAATGAAGGACCTGTGAGCAGCCCAGCTTCTGAGGACCCTGCCTCTGAGTCCTGATTCTGCCCCTTAGCACCTGTGTGACCTCGAACAAATACCCCTTAACTCCAAGGACAGCATGGGCCACAACAGCTCCCAGGCCCTGAATCTGTGACCTCATGGCCCTTTCCCAGACAAGGAGGGTGACAGCTCTCTCTCCCACAATGAGGGGAAGAAACACCGCCCTAAGCCTGAGAGCCAGGGAGCCCCAGGGAGCCCTCCGACTCCCGTCGGCACTGAGTTCTATTGAACAGAAGTGAGACTCGCCCGTCACTGCAGACACCTACGTGTTCTTTGAACAACCGCTCTTGCGTTTTATTCTTGTTAAGAAAATAGTGCCGTGCCCACTCGCCCGAGGTCAGACATTTGAAGGCCTTCTCCAAGTGCTCATCTTTTTTAAAGCGTTCAATCACCTCCTTCAGCTCTTCTTGCCTCCCTTTAATAGGACGAAATCTGAAAGAAAACACAAAGGCTTCAAGCATGTGCTATACCTGAACCACCACGGGTCATCCCTGACGACCCAAGTCACAGATCCAACGCTGAGGCAGGCAGATGAAATGAGAACAGGAAAGGGCCTTGGACCTTCAAACGACTTCTCCCCCGATGAGCTGCTTGGCTATCTTAGTATTTATTCACTTGGGTTCCTTGTCGCTGCATTTCCTTTTTCTCTCTCTAAATTTCCTTTTATTTATTTTGTTAAACATTACAATTACATGTAAAATATTTTATAAATTCACTTTAAGAAATCTGTGTCCTCCAAATTCTCCCCATCCTTTCTCTCTCCAACCCCTTGAAAAGGCAAGCAATATGATATCAATTATACATAACCTTACATCCCCAAGACAACACCAAAGTGTCCCGGGGAAAAAGCCTCGGCTGGCAGAAGGAGCTGTCTCTCTATGTCCTCCACAGGGTGAACCATGCTCTAGGAAGCCTGGCTGACCTGGAAAGTCACCGGGCTGAGATGTGGCCTCCAGAGAAACAAAGCTCCGGATGAAGAAGCACCACCATTGGTGGTGATGGAGACCCTGCGGACAGAGGCTGACCGACATGGGGTCCACCTGAGTCCACGAGGTCTGTGAAAAGGCCAGGGCAGCGGAGGGAGGAGCCCGCCCTCTAGTGGCCAAACAGGGCAGCCTGCAAAGAGTCTGGACAGGCTGAGAGCCAGCGAGCGCCTTCTTCTGGGGATCGGGCTTTGGCACAGACCGCCTGCTTCCACATGATCCCGGCCCATGCAGGGGCCTCTCCTCCCGGGGGCGGGTAAGCACCTGCAGCGCCAAGGGCAGGGATGCTCCACCCCTGGGACATGACCAAGGTGGGGGGAGGTCTTTGCCTCCCCGACTTCTGCAGCCCAAGCCAAGTGCTAAGAACATCTGGGTGGGGAAGGGGTGTCCTAGAGTCAGAACTTGTAAGACTGGTGTGCATCCGACGCTGCCTCCCACGGTCCCCTTACGGCCCCCCTGGGGGCTGAGCGAGGAGCTGGCCCAAGGAAATGCCCTCTTGAGGCTGTGAGGGGCCACACGGCACAGGGCACTCCAGGAGAGTGTCAGTAAGCTCTTCAAGGACCAGGATGGTTTCCTTTTGTCTCTATGCAGTATCTGGTACATAGTAGGGAGTTAATAAATGTCTGCTCGACTGACTACCTGAAATGGTTTGGAAAAAATTCCAGGCCTTATTTCAACCCCCAAAAGATGACCATGAAAATAACGTGAATTCCCTAGTCAAATGTTTCCTTTCTTATTTCTACAATCTACACATGTTAAAGAAAAGCATGTCTGAATAAGATTTGGGAAAGAAACAGGCAGGCTCCCACTAAAGGTGCTAGAGCAGACCTCATCAGTGGTCAGCAGCTGGTGGTGCAGTGGACAGAACTCCAGGCCTGGAGTCAGGAAGACCGGAATTCCAATCCTGCCTCAGACACCCTGTTTGCCTCAGTTTCCTTATTTGTAAAATGGGGATAATAATAGTGCCTCCCTCCCAGGGTGGTTGTGAGGATCAAATAAGATTATGATCCTAAAGCACTAAGCATAGTGCCTGGCACACAGTAGGTACTATATAAATGTGAGCTGTTATTATTTGTCACTCAAATGCCCCAAGTTTTTGTGCAACAAAAATTAATAAAAAGTCCTTGAGGGTGTGCTGTGGATGTGTGTATTTACTTATAAATTTGTATAGTAATTATGGATGTCATAAAATACAAAACAAATTTAAAACAGAGGATAAAGACAAAACCAGCAGACCTGCTGGAAGAGGGAAAGGATAGGGAGGGATGGAGCTGTGGAAAGAAAGGGGCAGGGCGTGGAGAACCTTAAGTCAGGGAGGCCAATGAGGAGGCTTGTGCCAGAGTGGGAGCCTTGGGGGGACAGAAGAGGAGACAGAGGGGAGAGCTGTGGAGCGAGAAGTTGACTCGTGGGGTTTGTGGGTGGGGAACAACGGGAGGGATGGTGGGTGCCCACTCCCCATCAAGATTAGGAGGCTGGCCTCCTCTGGCAGGCCGTGGATGAGAATGGCGTGGCCCGAGCACCCCCATCCGTGGCAGCCAAGGTCCAAATTAAAACGCAAGGAGAATGAAAATACGTGAATTTAACGAGAGGCGGCCACACTGAGGGGAGGAACCGGGACTGAGCCTGGAAGGGTTCACTTAGACAAGGGAGGACATTTTAGGCAGGGGCATCAGAGGGGTGAGGACACACAGGGGAGTGAGGAACAGCTTCCGGACAGCCTCAGAAGCCTGGCTCGCCTTCCAGCGGTGACACAAGCCAACACTCCGCTCAGAGGACCGGGAATCCACCTGTACCTCAGATGCCCACGTGTTCTAGCAAATGGAAGAGTGGGGCCAGGGGGCCTCTGCAGGCCCCTTCAGCTCAAACTCTTGGAGCCTCTGATCCTATTATATAGGTCTACCCTCATTTTAGCATAAAAGCAAACTGAGGCCCAGAAGGGACGAGTGGGAATGGCAGAGTTGGGGCTAGAAACTTCCTCTCCTGATTCTCAGGCAGCAGACACCACACTGCCTCCAAACCTATAAAAAAAAAAGTGTTGCATCAAAAGTACAAACCATAAATACGTGTTGATGACACGGGACGGGGAATTACATGGATTTAGACCCCCTCCCCGTGCACCTCTGCCCTGGAAGCCCATCCGCAGGTGATGTCCGTGCTCCAAATGAGCCAGAGGCCACCATCTCTGAAGTGCAAGAGCAACTAGACGTGGCGGGGGTGATTCTCGGGACATGCTGACAGCCCCAGAGCCCTGCTGGTCTAACTCCCCAAGACAGCCTGAGGGAGAAGTCCATCGAGGGGAGTCTGGGCTCAGAGGAGGGGCCATAGCCTCGAAGTCAGAACAGCACATTCTGACTGGGTAACGTGATGACTCTATACCAGGTGCAGCGGTCCGGTACGGAGCAACTGCATTTCTTTAATTAAAAGGGGTTGCCCCACGCTAAATTATTCTGTATTGGGATTTACGTAAGATAATTTGGAAATGCTTTAAGCCGAACCGATGTCATCTGGTAATAACGTTTGTCTCACGTTCTAAAACGACTTTGTGTATGTTACTATGTTTCTAAATTCTCATATCGTGAAATTTGAGAAATCATTGTATTAGAAATGCTGTTGGAAAAACAACTTTGTCTTAAAAATCTAGATGCTGTTAGATTACAAACTGAGCTGTTAAAATAACGTGATTTTAAAAAATAGATATTTGAAAACTCAGTGGATACAGCATCAAGGCCTGGAGTGAGGTTGACCCCAGTTTAAATCTGGCCTCTGATGTGTGACTCTGGGCAAATCACTTCACCCTGTTTGCCTCAGTTTCCTTATCTGTAAAATGAGCTGGAGAAGGAAACGGCCAACCACTCCAGTATCTTTGCCATGAAAACTCTAAATGGGGTCACACAAAATTATTTGATGTGGTATATTTTGCTTTGAAACATAATAATTTTCTGCTTGGGGGAAAAGTTGCACAGACCCTTGAAGATCCTTACTGCGAGGTCCCTTGAGAGTTTTCATTCAGGCAGGGTCATGAGGGCTTCTTATTCTACTGACCGTATGTTGTAGAATCTAAAGTACTGAAGCCGGAGAACCTAGAACTGAGAACTAACAGAAGCCTCTCTCCCACCCCGTGTCACAGGAGGGGGGCGGGGGATTTATTAGTTTACTATAATAAAGGATGAATTTCATTTGAAAACTTTTGGCTATCACTTATAAAAATTATGAAACTGTATAGGGTGGTTTAAAGATGTAACTTCAAAAAATTAATACGAATTAACTATCAGGTATTTGCTATATAAATGACATCTGTTAGGGAAACAAGAGAAAACTAATAATATTCAAGCCCTAAGTCATGGTTAGTGAAATCTTGCTATTTGAGGTAAAAACTCTTGGGACTATGAAATTGTTTTGAGTATGATTTCAGGTTTGGTTGCTGAAGTGTTATTAAGCCAATACCCTACCAGTCAAGGAGAAAATGGCATGTGCTATGGTCTAAGAACTGCTACAGGTGGATGTCTGTACCTGGGAAAAGTTGAGGGGGTCTTGATGTGGTCCAACACAGGAGCCTCTTGACTCAGTTTCCCCATGGTGCTATTTATTTTCTGAACAGGAAATTTCCCCAACTGGTTAATCCTGAGTCTGGTTTTTGATACCCTGTGAATAATGTGGAGCTTTACTACATGACTGGCTATCAGATATGACTCGTGCCTGGAATCAAACAGAGCTAAGGGAGTTTTTCCCCTGTAATGGTATATGCCAAGTTCATCTGTGGCCTAGAGAGGATGACTCTTGACATTGTTATAACTACATTTCTCCTTTTCCATTCATAGTAAATTTCTATAATCAGAGCAGATGAGCAGTAGAAGTTTTGTAAGCATGATACTAAACCTATTAACTAATAGACACATACCAGAACATTTCTGAGTTACTATAATAGGGCAAGTATGAAAAGTCCTGCAATTTTAATCTGTTTCTCTCTCCCTGACCCAGGGAGCCCCCTTTGCTGCCTCTTTGATAACGGCATCTGGGGCCAGCTGCGGCTTTCCCTCTCTGGTCACGTCTGCCTCCACCCCCCATCAGAGGAGTGTCGGGGCTCCAGAGCCAAGGAGAGGGGAGGAACCCCCAGATTCAACACGTGGCCATCCCCCGGTCCTCCTCCAGCTGAGTGGACGTGTGCTCCCCTGTCACATGAGGGATGGTCCATGGATGGCATCCATGGTGCCTGACTCCAAGGTGATATTTGATATATATGATAATATATATAATATAGGATATAGGATAATATAGGATAATATATATAATATAGGATGTCTTCCTAAGGAGGAGAATTAGTGATGTAAAACTTTTCTAATTGAACAGAATAGTAAATCCTGATAAAGCAACAGGATTAGTCTGTTTTCCAGGTTATACACATATGCATATGATTGGCTTCCAAATGTTTCTAATGGAAAATTCAAGTTTTGAGTATGTTTTAGTAACAAGTTCTCAAAATTGGATTAAGGATTTAGCATATAAAATTGCATTGACAATCATAAAGAAAGTAAAATTATTTTCCCATTTTAAAGTATCTGATAATTTTTAAAACAGAAGCGTTCATTTTACAAGTTAGATCCTCATGAATTTTTTTTTTTTTAATTCTTATATCAAGTATAGGGTTTAGGTGAAGATAAAAATAGCAAGTGATATATAAAAACTGAAATTCTCTAGAGTCCCAGGTGAGTTATGGGTTCCTAACCTGATGTTCTTATAGCTCTAACAGGATTAGCTTCATAAAGCTTGCACTGGTTTTCACTATATGAACTAGTCATTGGAAAAACAACTGGAATAGGCTGTTCAGTCATTTCAGTCATGTCTGACTCTCCCTGACTTCATTGGGGGTTTTCTTGGCAGAGATACTGGGTTTGTCATTTCCTTCTCCAGCTCATTCTACAGATAAGGAAACTGAGGCAAGCAGGGTGAAGTGACTTGCCCGGGGTCACACAGCTAGCAGGTATCTGAGGCAGTCTGCAGTCTTGCTGACTCTAAGCCCAGCATTCTATCCACTGTGCCATCTGGTTACCTAGGAATTTCTGCAAGTGACTGGGAACTGGAGAAGCAAAGCCCTCTTCAGAGCTGCCCTGAGAACGAGGCCTATTCCAGAACGTCCAAGGGCTAGACAATCACAGGACATCTGGGACTCAAGACAAAAATATGATGATTAAATGGACATTGGGAGTGGGTTACTAAGACACAAGGAGATCTGATGTTGTTTAATGTTGATGATCATCACTGTATTGCACTGGCCTTTCGTTTTATGGTGTATATGTGTAAATCTCCCCTTTCAAAATTAGTCCATTGTGAGCCCTCTAAGTAGTCTGATCTGTAGCCTGCCTTAGTTTACCTATAGAGTCTACATACAAGATTTGTATATTATCCCTATTTTTCTTAGACTCTGTCAGCTACTGTACTAAGCTATGTAAGCTGTGCAAGAGGACGGTCTTTTCTTGACCCACAATGTTGATAGTGAGCATGAGCACATTAAACAGCCTTACAGATTTAGCTGACAGTAAGTGGTCCATGGCAGGAGTGGGCTGGCTCCTCCACTACGCACCAAAGTGGGGAATTGAGAGAATTGTGGGAAATTATGTGAACCAAACTGACTCCACTCTGTAAAGCTGACTCCATTTTGGGACCCGAAGTTTCTTTTTCCTGTAAATTCCACCTACGTGTTAACTGTGACATCCCATCACAGATGTGAAATCTGCAAAAGTTCAACTGCTCGCTCTCCCCGTTCCCAACTCTTGAAACTCATTCATCCCCCTCCCAACTCAGAAAGTCTCTAATCTTTCTTCCAATTACCTAACCTTGTGTCTTGGTTTATGTGCTGTTAATTTTCTTTTAATGCATAGAAATCTATCTTCCCCTGTCTTCAGGGTCCAGTGGCAAGTTGAAGAGGCCTCGGCCTGATCTGTTATGCAACTTGCACGCGTTACTTAATAAAGCAATATGGCCAGAAGCTTAAACCTTTGTTTCCCTAGTTATTTCAGATTTCACCAGCCGCACAACACTGAAAATGTGATATGAGTTAGCTACCGTTTTTATTTCCAGAAAGACAAGGTAATCATAACATTCAGAAGAGCAGATGGGATGTGAGTGCCACTCTCGGGCCACCCTGACTTTATCTGTATTATTCTCCTGGCAACTAGCCAGGTGCCATCTCTCCTAGGCCTATGCCTTCAATGGCTGTCAACATATTCCTGTGTCCTACACAGCACTTGCATGTGGCCGAGGGCTCAACAGTGGTAAAGAACCAGAGCACTGACCACTGAAGAAATTTAACCATGAAGGCCTGTAAAAGGCAAAGGTTTGCTCTTTGAGCAAGCCAGATGCAACTTTGAGAGAGCGTCAGAATGTGAGGGAAGGAGCCAGTGGGGAAGAACTAAGAAGCCGTAGAAGAAAGTGAAGTAATGGGACCCAGAGCTGAGGTATAACATGGTGCCTATGGCGAGGATCTCCATAGTACAGTCATCACTTCCCAGGCCTCTACATGGTTTCATTCAGTGACCTAAACTAATGGGTCTATCTCACCAAACCCAGACAACACATGGTCAGATTAATTTCTATTTCTGACCAACTTGGCTTGGCCAATCCAGAGATGACCATCATGGTCACATACCAAGCCATACCATGAAAATGCTCTCCAGTTGGAGAAGTTGTGGGAAAACTGGAATACTAATGCACTGTTGGTGGAGTTGTGAACTGATTCGACCATTCTGCAGAGCAATTTGAAACTATGCTCAAAGGGTTATAAAATTGTGCACACCCTTTGACCCAGTAATACTACTTCTAAGTCTGTAGAAATGGGAAAAAGACCCACACGTACAAAAATATTCATAGCAGCTCTTTTTGTGGTGGCAAAGAACTGGAAATTGAGGGGATGTCCATCAATTGGAGAACGGTTGAACAAGTTGTGGTATATGAATATGATGGAATACTATATCGCTATAAGAAATGATGAACAGGTGGACTTCAGAAAAACCTGGAAAGACTTGTATGGTCTGATGGCTGAGTGAAGTGAGCAGAACCAGGAGAATACCGTACACAGTAACAGCCACATTGTTCAATGACTGACTTCGATAGACTTAGCTCTCCTTGGCAATGCGAGGATCTAAGAGAATTCCAAGGGACTCATGAGGGAAAACGCTCTCCACATCCAGAGAAAGAACTCCTATGGTCTGAATGCAGATGGAAGCATAATATCTGCTCTCCTTTTGTTGTTTCTTCTTCCTTGTGGTTCCTCCCATTAGTTTTAATTCTTCTTTATATCATGACTAATGTGAATATATGCTTAATATGAATGTATAAGTAGAGCTTACAGAAGATTGCACGCCGTTTTGGGGAGGAGGGAGGAGAGAGTAGGGGAGAATATTCAAAACTCAAAATCTTATGGAAGTTAATGATGAAAACTAAAAATAAACAAATTAATTATAAAAAAAAAAAAGAAAAGAAAAAAAGAAAATGCTGTCCAGATCAAGAATGTTCTTTAGTAGGCTGGTCCTGTCAAAAGAACGTCAACCCAAATCAAGTCAGGGAGCTGCAGATGCTGGTGGCGTCCCGCGTCTACGTGAAAGTCAGACCTCGGCTTCGACACAAATAACAGACCTGAGCTCTAAGCGGCTTCATCGCAGGCCCCTACAAACTACGCCTCAAGGCCAAGACCTTAACTAAGCCACTAAAACAGAAGCCCTTCTCACAGCCAAGGAAGCTGTCAGAAGGACAACAGGATTAACCAAAGAGTGAAAGCACGATGGAAGAAGGATGCTCCACAGCAAGATATTCAAGTACTGGTGACGAGGAGAGGGGACAGGGGACAAAGCAGAATCTAAGACCACTGAGTCCTCCTCTCCTTTAAATGGTAGACTGCTTCAGCTTTCCACACCTGGTATGTGTCTGCTATGACCAGCAACTATACACAAGGTGGTTCTCAAAATGGGCATGCGCACACACACACATACACGCATGCATGTCTGTCCCTTACGCTCTCTCCAGACAGCCTTCCCGGCTCTCTTGCCGTTTGATCAAGAGGGCCTAGAGGCAGTAAGGCAAAGCTGTCGACTAAAGCTCCCCCTGTACTGGCATGAAAGACTGAGGGGTGACTGGAAGTGGCCAAAGGCGATGAGGAGCTCAGAAAGGGCGGAAGAACATTCAGAGGGAGGCGGTCCAAAGGAAGGTCACCGAGCAACCTCTGTAACTGCTAACGGAGGGGCTCGCGGGTCGCTGGGCAGGACTTGAGCGAGAGCGAGAGCGATTTCTTCAAGTCTGGACGTACCTGGCTGAGGCATGCAATCCGCTGAGGCCTCGCATCTGGCTCTCTTAGAAATGCCCCATTTCAGAGTGCAATCTAGCCAGGACTTACTGGATCCAGGGCATCTTAAAAGGGCAGTACGCTGTTCAGAAGAAGGGGTGGGGTGCACCGTTATGTCAGGGAAGGGTACCATGTTCTACCTACCTCACCTGGTGCGTGTGAGGGCAACTGTCAGATTTGGTAAAATGCCTGGAACTCCTCCAAGGAAAGGCGCTAGAGATGCAAAAACAAACAACAATGTTAGAGGCTGAGATTAGTGGTGAGAGAGCCCTAAGAAGACCAGGCTGGTCAAGGGTCTGGGCAGTGGGCCTCAGCCCACTTCGACCCAGGCCCTCAGGGTCTTTCCCTGTCAGCCTTCTGAACCCCCTTTCTCGACCTAATTTCTAACTATAGCAAGTGCCATCCCAGCATCTGACTTACCCAGCCACTAAAAAATGGTCTAGGGGAAGAAATCCAGGCACAGGGATGGCCCCCCACCCATCCCAAAAATGGTGCAGAGAGAAGTCACTCTGGCTTAACTCTCCCTTCTTCCACCCCCGCTCCACAGGGAGCTGCCCCCCTCAGCCCTGCTGGCGGCCTCACAGCCTACTCCCAGTAGAGTACAAGATTACCCGCCTCTCCCAATTAATTTCGACCACAGTAAGGATTCCATGTCTTTACTGGAAAGCCAGAACCAAGCTTTGGCTGCCTCCAGCCTGGCCCCTGCTATGCAGGGCCTGCGCTAGTCTCTTCACTCCTATGGGCCCAGACAAGTCATCTCAGATAACACCCAATTTCAGAGATAACTGACTGAGAGCTGGAAGGGACCCTGGTTTCCCTGTCCAAGCCCCCCATCTTATAGATGACAAGGCACAACGAGGCAGAGAGGTTACTAGTGACTTGCCCAAAGTCAAACAACAAATATTGGAGGGAGGATGACCCGAGTTCAAATCCTGCCTCCAAGGTCAGTGCCCTCTCCATTACACACCATGCTGCCCGGGCCCTCCCCAAGAGTTCTAGGTTCTCGGGATCTGATCGGGTCTCGGTGGCTGGCCATCGATTGGTATGCCTCAGTCATCTCATCTCAGTGCCCAATCAGGCATGCTCCTGAGCTCAGCCCCGGACACCGGCTTCTGTGGGTGACTGGGATGCACACCCTCCTGGATGGGGGCCCGTGGCCCTCGGTGACCTTTCTCTCGCTCTTCCTCTCCCAATGCAGATTACGACCCCCACCCCCACCTCCTAGACTTAGAATGAACAATGCCTGGATGAAGGTGTTGATGTCACCTGCTAAAAGCCAAAGCAGTTTCTCAATGTCTCATGTGATGGCATTCCTACTGGGGGGTGCAGTGGCTCGCTCCTCCTCACGCCCTTGGGAGCGTGAGCCCCCTCACGTCTCCACTTCGCCTTGTGTGTAAATGCAGGCATGGGCCCGAGTGACTTCTGGGGTCCCTGCCGGCTTCCGATCCACCATCTGTACTCCGTCTCAAAGATGCTTTTCAGACCTTCGCTAACTGCCTGTGACCTCCTCCCAGGATACTGCAGCAGAAAAAGCCACTGGGCCCAAGGTCAAAGCCTGACGGACATCTCTGGACCTGAGAGCCATCTGTAAAACGACCCTAGTGCTGTCAACCACTAGTCACTCCAGCTTCCTTTAAGCTTTAAATCTGCTGATTCAGCCAAATGGTTTGGGATCACGAGGCGACTCGGCAAGCCCTGAAGATGAACACGTCCACAAAGAAAACCACGCGTGCCCCGAGAGCTTGGCCAGGGGAGGCAGGTGCTCGCTGAGCCAATGCTGCTTGCTGTAGGAACGCCACCTTCCCACTGGCCTACCCGACGTCACGAGGTGTCAGGGCTTTCAGCAGCATCCTCTTCAGAAATGGAAAGGATCCCTGCATTACTCTTCTGTCAAAGTGGGGCAGAGGATGACGAAATACTGCAGAAGCTGAGCTGCTACATTTGGTGATCAAACAGGGTGTGTCAGACATTTGTGGCTGCCGAGTTGTTTCAGTTGTGTCCAACTTTGTCACCCCACTGGGGGTTTTCTTGGCAAAGGTCCTGGAGCGGTTTGCCATTTCCTTCTCCAGCTCATTTTACAGATGAGGAAACTGAGGCCAACAGGGTGAAGTGACTTGCCCAGACTTGTATAGCTAGTGAGTGTCTGGGGCTGAATTTGAACTCAGGAAGATGAATCTTCCCGACACTAGGCCCAGTGCTCTGTGCACTATGGCGCCATCTAGCTGCCCAACTTCAGACATCTATTGTTAAGTGGTTATATCCTCTGCACTTTGAAGACTGCGCGGCCTACTTTGATGCCACTCAGGAGGCGAAGGACACAGGCTGTCACTGCTGACGGAAGTGAGGGCGTCCGGTGCCCAGTGCCAAACCCTAGTGACTACAGCCCAGGGCAGCCGGAAGCTCCACGGCTCTGTGCACCCCGCTAGGTGGGAAGCGTGCCCAAACGTGTACATATGCTGATCCTCTCCTCCTCCTGTGGACCATCAGAGACAACCTGGGACCTCACTCTCATTCCTCCTTTTATTCAGCCAGGCTCTTCTGACGACTCCTTTAGGGGATCTGGGAACACTCCCTTCCTCACTTCGCCAGCCGGAGTCAGGAGGAGGCCATGATGTCCTGAAGCCGATATCTGTCACCGACGGGGCTGGGGTCCAGGGAGCACCCACAGGACTACAGTCCAGAGCAGGCTTCTCTAATCGTCCCAACGAGTTCTACAGGACACACAGGGACTGTCCATCTTCCTCTACCTCCACACCCGGACCAGGCCCCAAAATGACCACCAAGTTGCCTCCCTTCCTCTCACTGACAAACTTCTCAAATGGCTTCTCTACATCTGCCACCTGCGTTTCTGGCCTGTGGCACTCGCAGCTCTCCAGCACCTGTGGCCTCCTTCCCCTGTGTAGCCGGCTGCTGCTGCCTATATCTCCCTTCTGGAAAAACTCTCCAGACACCGTCCTACCCTGGTTTTCCTCCAGCCTCCTTCCACGCTCCCTGGGAATGACTCACCCCAAGGCTTTGCCCTAGAGATCTTGTTC